AGTATGTAAATGCTGATCTTTCCTTCACATTTTACAGAGCTGAATAATGGGTGCCTCTTTTAGATAGGGCCTGTGCTTTCAAATTTGCTGCAGTCCTAACCATGCCCTGCTTTTCCCCAAGATGACAGGTGATGACTACCATTTTGCCTTGCCCTTACAATGTTCTTTTTCCCAGAGACGGGAAATCTTCTTTTGTTTCTCTTAAAAAAAAAAAAAAGTGCAATAGAGAAACCAAAAGGCAGCATGTTTTAAGGAAAATGCAGTCAAACCTGTTTTCCTTTGAGAAGTAAAGAATTTCTTACCCACTTTCACTCATTTTATTTACTTGCCTGGACTCTATAGACATTTGAGTCTAATCCTGTAGACAGACATAGAAGAGATGTTGTTCTCCAAGATTATTCTGTGTAAATGAAGATCTGCTGGACCTGGAACCCTTGAGGTTTCATCCAGGAACTATGATCAGTTTTCCCAGCAGTACTTTAGAAAGCAAGTACCACATCCTCTCCTGGATGCTTGCACAGTTCTTTTCACCTGTCTTTCTAAAGCAAACAAATTGAGATGGGTTACTGATACAGATTGTGTGAATGTGTGCTTCTGTGGGTGCCACAGCTCTTTTACTCTAAATTTGATCTTAAACTGTGCTCTGGTGTGCATGAAAGCTGGGAATGAACTCTTGCCAATGGAAGATTTATAGTCTTATGAATGAGTAAACCCTAGATCTTTGGAGGTTAATTTAGAAAGAACAGTATTGTTGGGTTCTATGTGTGTTTGTTTCAGTGGGGTGGAGTTAGTAATAGCATTTCCTTGTCCAATAGGAAGTGGGTAAATTGCCAAGCCACTGAGATCACTATTGTTGACTCAGATTCAGCATAAGATTAGAATAGGAAAGCTGTCTAGTAACCCTGGAATCTGGGCTGGTTGTGATTCTGCTTGTTCTTGGCTGGTCAGAAGGGTTTGAGCTGACATCAGTGGTCCCAGACTCCTGGATGTGTTGCTAAATCATGTTTGATTTTTGTTGGCTATCTGAGAGGCCAGAGTTGTTGGAATAATGGTAGTGGGTAGCAGTTTTCTCTGTGATAGAGGAGTAATTATTTTCTGCATCACTCCTGTGGTGTGAGAGGCGGGTACCAGCTTAGAGAAAATTACAGATTCTTATCTGTGATTCTTAAGCTGATACAGCATGAGCCAAGCACTTATTCTTAGTGAAAAGGAGATGCTGTATTTTAAGTAGAATTTTAGGATTGATCTCTAGAAAGGAGTGTCCCGTGTTTGTTCCTTCTCTCATCTGGTGGGTAGAGGGAGCTCCCTGGTGGATTTTCTAAAATTTGCTCAAGACCCCCCTTTTTTCTTATGAAGTATCAAACATTTTCAAATGGGGAAGTAGGCCATTTTGATGCTATTCAGGTGGAAAAGGAAATGCCATGATGTCAGAGCCTTTATGTCATTTCAGGGAACTCTTTCTGGCTTGCTTTGTGGTGCAGGAATGATTTTCAGCACTATATCTTGAAGAGTCCCTTGTTCTTGTTCTCAGGGGTATTGTCTTGGTGCCCAGAGTTCCTGCTTACCAGTTAGGTGTCAGGTCACGCAGGGGTCCTCTCACCAAGAACAAAATTTCTGGTTTGAGAAACATGTTGGAAAACTAGTAACTGCTGAAAATAGCAAGTAGATGTTAGAATTGAGATAATATGCTTTGACCTGCAGGAACAATGGAGTGCTATGCCGCACCCCCCCTCCTCCCCCCAGGCAATAGGCCCTGGTCACTCCACCTAACATACATCCTCCATAACGCATACCCCACACAAGTACACTCTTCCACTTGCCCACCTTCTCTGAAACTGGTTCAGCTCCAAAATCTCTGACCAGCAGAGAACAAGCAGAATCACAACCAGCCCTGATTCCAGGGTACTGGTGTTCTTTGAATACTCTCCGTTCAAGAGGGTGTTTATTTCATTATTGGTGATGCTGTATTTCCCCGATGAGCCCTATTTCTTATGCTTTTGGCCATTTGTCCTCTTTTATGAAGTGCCTATTCAAGTTTTTTTTTTTCCTTTTATTAACTGGGTTCATTTTTTCCTTAGTTATTTGTTGGCAGTTTTGCATATTCTGCATACACGCCTCATTTGAGATATAAATTAAAAATATCTTCTCTTACTGTGCAGTTTGCCATTTCTTCTCTTAACGGTCTCTTTTGATTAATTGAAGCTCTTCATTTTGGTGAAGTCCAGTTTTTTCTTCATATTTTGCACTTCTGGATATCTTGAAGCAGAAAATCACGAGTAGTGCCACTGCTGTAGAAAGTTATCCACAGTTGCACTGGACGTTTGCATTCTTTTATTGGCTGCTGGCCTCAAAGGTGTTCGGAACCCTTGTTTTTAGGAAACACATTAGCCTTTACAAAGCCCATTCCCTTCATTCTCATTTGATTACTTGTAGGGATCATTAAAGCACTTGCAGATTGGCCTTGTCTTTTTTACAGAAGAGGGTTAGGGTGCTTATATATGCTGTCTGGGGCTGTGGCACCTCCACATTTGCTGTGACTTTGTGCTCAAGGGTGAATTGTTGGACTGCTGGGCTCACATCCTGGCCCTGTCACTGTGGATGAGGCACTTGCCCTCTCTGAACTTTGGTTGTCTCATCAGCTAAGTGGGAGTAATGACAGAATACCTATCCCATGACATAGACATGAAGATTAAATGATTTATTTATATGTAGTGTTCAGCACGGCATTTGACACATGGTGGGTTTATATTGTAGTTGCTTGTGATTGTGTTGCAGATATCCTAATTCTCTGGATTCGGGAAGAGCTTGATTATTTGCTCCATTTCTCTTTCTGTGCTCTATATTTTCCCTTCCTCATTCCATGTTCCCCCTTAAGACTTCTCTGTTTTGCTGATCCTCTATTTTCTTCTGAAAAGCCACATGCATTTCAAACATGAACTAAATTGATGCCCTGTGTGAGGTTTAAAAGTGTGCTATCTTATGGGCACTGACATAGAAAATGTAGAATCATTGAGAATCTGGCTTGCATTATTTTGTTTTGTGGGATCGTGGCCAGTAGAGGAATGGGGAGGGTAAATATGGAAAGGAAGTTTTTGCTTGATTCCAAAATAAATAAAGTTGACCCTTTGACCTTGGTTATGGGAAATTTTCACATATAAGAGATTTATTTAATAGAGGTTTCAATTGTAATGAAGGAAAAGAAATTTGGCACTGAAGGAGTATTTTTCAGACATCTAGAAATGATTATACTGTGATCCAGACATACAATCATGAAGCTGAAGGAAAATCATCTGAACTTTGTGTTGTAAGATTGGAACTAAGTGTGTTCTATCCACTTCTCCATTGCCCCTTCCACAATAAATGGGAACAATGCCACATGTGGAAAAAAGCTTGTATTTTGATATTTCTTCTTGAGATGGAAACAAAACCTGCTGATTTTCCTGATTACCATGGCTAAGTGGCCCACCCTACATAGACAGTGAGTTTGTCTGAACTTCCTCTTTGTGATGTTGGGTGGAAATTTCACACTGTGTGCAATGAATTTGAAATGACGTCTGCAAGGTCCCGGAGACCTTGGTATGCTAGGCCACTACTGTGGTCTCACTCATTGCTGGTGAGCACCCAGCAGGAAGTGAACTGAGACATACTGGCTACTTGATCCCAGTGTAGAGAGGAGGGTATATTTATTTTCTAGTGCAGTAGTAACTGCAAGAGAAGGGTAGGCATGGCAACCTAAGACAGCAAACCTCAGACCTAACTGCATCAGGATCACCTGGGATGTTGGTTAAAATCTAGATTCCCAGATCCAGCCCGAAAGTGCAGATCCAGCAGTCTGGGGTTGGGCTGGGAATTTCTATTTGAAGCAAGTGTTTGATTCTGAAGCTGTTCACTGAGGTATAACAATTTAAGCAGCCAAGTTCGAAGTCCGAAGAGTTGAGAATTCTGTAGTTGAATATAGCTTCATGAGCTTCTTATTTCAAAGTCATTAAAGTTTTGTGCTTGACTCTTTAAAAGGTGGAAAGGTAGATTCAATCCACTGTGTCACCAAGTCATAGGTCAACTGTGTGGCTCCCTGGCTGCTGACAGTCTTTAAAGATGAGGATTTCAGTCAGCGGTTTTTAACTTTTGAGATGGTACCTTCATGGATAACCTTGATGGACAATTTGAATTGCTTTTACAGAAAAATCCACATACATTAAGGGGTGGGGTGAGAGAGGTAGTTTTGGAGTCTCTGGGGCCCGTCTGTTGACCTAAGGAAAGAGCTCTGCTTAGTGAGCATACAGAGCTTTTAGCCCCTTCTCTCAAGTTCTGTTTTATGGCACAAGTCTCTCTTTCTCACGAGTGCCATCTGTAATGGGAACACAACAAACACCATTTGGTATTGTGCATGCTTTCTGGAGTGTTTGTGTTCAGTTTGAAAGAGCAAGCCAATTTCAGAGAGCAAGTGAAAAAGCTAATGCTTGTAAAACACTTAGCATCTGATGTGGAATTTATTCATTCTTTAAAAAATACACTATATACATTTAATAACTATAAAGCCGACTACCTCTATAAAACTTCTCCATGTCAAAAGTCGTTTAGAAGTATTGGACTAGTTAGTAGACTGGGATCCCCCCAGTTTGGATGTTTTCTTCCTTCCCTTTAAATAAATACTTCCTGTGCTCCTGTTGTGAGTGAACACTTTGTTAAGTATTTTAGAGACTAGGAATGAATAAAATCTCAAGGATCTGAACAAGGTCTAAAGGAATCACTTTACTGCTCTGTGACCCTAATCTGGGTAGGGTCATATATCATCCTGTTCCTTGAGGGAGACGGGCTTATTGAGAAGGATTTGGGAGATGACTTTGCTTTGTGAGACTGGCAGTGACTCAGAAAAGCCAATGGTGTACTTTTGGTGCTGTTAACCCCAGAAACCTCTCACAACAGGTGTTTAAGTTTCCTTCACCAGGCTATCTCTCCCTGGTGCACTGGGTCACATTCATGTCCTCCTCTTTCTGCAGGCCAGGGGTTATCACCATGCAGGCGATGTCAGAAGAGGACCGGAGGCTCTGGATGGAAGCCATGGATGGCCGGGAACCTGTAAGTAACAATTCAGGGAAGCACAGCAAGAATAAAGCTGTTAGTTGAGTGCTGCTTCCCTAGTTCAGTGATTTTTACTGTTGCTCTAAAACCATGGGTTCCTGATACCAGTGTACTAGAGGGAGTCCCCCATTCCCCACAGACTAACACTTACAGCTATTAGTGTTTCTAATATTCTACTGTTAGTGAGTGTAGTTCCAGAACTCTGGCCTCTTACTGCTAAGCATAAGCTTAACATTATCTTATACCAGAACTTCCCATTCACCAAGGCAAGTCCAGTCTAGCTTACTGAATATTTCTTGACTATTTCCACAAAGTAGGTTGTAAGGTATTATCTCAAATCTATTTTAATGGGAAAAATTATCATAAATGTGTATGCAGGTTACACAATATCTTTTATCTTCACCTCTGGTTCATCTTCCCCTTGCCATAAGAGTCCTCTGTTCTGTAATGTCAGAGGACTGGTAATTATGGGCTGCAAAGTTACTATCTGAAAGGTGAAAGCGATGCAGCGAACATTAGGTCGCAACCTTCATTGACCATAGAACTCAGTACATCAAGCTGAGTTTCCAGTGTGGATTATTTCAGTTCATTTATGTGTGTCTCTGTTAGCCTACCCCATTTAGGTGATCTGTATTAATGAATGTACCTTTTTACTCAGCTATTTTGTATACAAATATGGAACTCAGTATAGTCAACTAGTGTTTGTATAAAATTTAATAATATGTAGAGCAAGATTTAAAGAACTATTTAAAAATTTTGGCAGTTTGCTAACTTTTAAACATTGTTTACTCTTATTTCTTCTTATTCTAAATTAAATACTTGTGATTTTCCCTGGTTATGTTCCTGATAGAAACACTGTCAAAGTAGATAAACTTTTCTACCTTTAGGGTTTTGTGGAACAATAGCTGCTTTGTATCGGAGGCTTTTAGAATCAGATTTCTGAGTAATATTTGATTTTTGCTATTATCATTTATCATTAGAGGAACATTTTTTGTGTATAGGCCACTTATTTCTGTTAATACCTTACAACATAAGTTATGATTCCATTTTATAAGTGAGGAAACTGAACTTCAGAGAGGTTGAATAACTTGCCTCAAGCTGCACAGATGGTAAGCGACTGTTTTATTAGAGCACAGGCTAAGTTGCTATAACAGCCAGACTCTAAAATATGGTTCCTTAAACAAGACAAAAATTTATTTCTCTGTCAGAGCCCAGAAGTGAACAGTCCATTTGTGGGAGGGGGTGCAGCCATTCTTAACTATGTCTCTACCAGCCACTGCCTTTTTCCCAGCCATATAATGGAAATGAAAGTAACCAGAATCCACTCATATTGACCCACATATAATTATATGGCCACGTCTATCTTTAAAAATGGATGGAAAATCTAGGTTATCATAGGTGGTCAATGGCCCAGCCAGTGCCCCAACACATCTTACTCCTATAGGAAGAAAAGTACTGTGGGGGTGATTAACAGTCTCACCTCAGTAGCAGAGCTGGAATTTGAACCCAGGTCTAGCCTGCATGTTTAGCTTTCACATTTCTCTAGTTTAGTTTTCACATTTAATTGAGATAAAATGTTTATATTACTTTCTAAAAATACTCATGCTGTTAATTTTTACAGTGCCTTTTTGACTTTTTTGATTTTTCTTAAATTTGTAGGGGGGCAAATAACCAGAATGAAAAATTCTGTCTGTTACTCTTGGTGTGGACAAAAAACCCCACTCCATTTTGTGTGACTGTGTGTGTGTGTATGTATGTGTTTGTGTGTATTTTCCACTAATAATCTGGAGTTCTTTCACTGCTTTACCAACTCCATTTTAAGCCTTCCTTTCCCCTTTCTCTCCACTACTTTATATTTATTCTCTGACTGTATGTAATTGCTCTTCTTCCTAGCTACTTCAATTTTCCCACAGATTAACATCTGGCCTCTGCAGATGGAAAGTGTACTGTTGAAAGAAACATCTCTTTGCTTTCGAATGTACACATTGTAACAAGTTTATACACAAAATAATTCTGTTTCTAAACATAATATGAATTTATTTTCTCACAGGAACTTATAACTTGCATTGAAAACCATACCTCCATGTGCTTTTTAGTTTCCTATAGAGAGAGATAAATACAGGCAAATGATGATGGCATAATTGGCAGGAATATTAGGCCTAATTTTGTCTCCCACTGCTGAGAGCCTCTAGGGAGCATTACTGGAGATATATACCCAGTAGACAATTAGCAACTCCAGTTTTAATCAACATTTCCCTAATTCGTTAAATCTGTCCCCTTGGGATTTTTGGTTTTGGGAAGGGAACACAAACCTCTTTTCTAGCTAATCGTAGGAGTATTTCCCTTGTTGCGGGAAAATATTTATGGTAGCATCTATCTTTTGTATTACAGTTAAACTTCAGTTCTGTGATTGAGGTTTTTTTTTTTGTAGTTTTCATCTTTTCCTGTTCATTAATACCTTAGGTTGCCTGAAAGTAAAAATACTTTTACCTAATTGTTACATAAATTTCATATGGCTATCCTGATCTAGAGAAATGTCAAATGTCTTTATGGTATTGATCCATATATAATAGAAGAAGAAATTAGAGCTGTTTCCCTGTTAGCAGGCAGACACAGGGGCACCTGAGGTCACCCAAACTTACACCTCAAAAGGGATTCTGCCATCTGCCAGATAAAGACAAAGCATATTCTCAGTGTGAAAATCCTTGAATACCATGATTATACATGGAGAGGGAATGAAGAGAAAAGATATAGTTTTCCAAAGGAACACTCCAAATTACCCATCCCATCCTGGGTAAATGCCCAGCCACAAAGAGTTGGCCTGTGGTGGCACTCCTGAGGCCCAAAGGCTTGCCACAAGTCTAAGATACCTTTCAGTGGGAAACCACAGGAATGGGGCAGAAGGGCCTAGGAGAGTTTTAGACCAAATGAGCAAATCAAATTAAGATAACTGCCTCCATCATCAGCCTCCCCACATGTATCCCACCTAAAATGTCTTTTGGATGTCTCTACATATCTGGAGTCCATGGGTCTCCTCCAAGCCCCCAAGTCTCAAGTACAAGACTAGGAAGGAAGTGGGCCCTTCTTCACATATCCTTTTGCTCTTTGTGACTCTCTTCTGTGCCCTCTTTTCATGTCTCTTTAAGAGTTCTCTATCTTCACCTGTCTTCTTAGTCCCTTGTCAGGTGGGTCAGTGAACCTGTAACCTCCACTTTTTATGGAGGTTCCTCTGTTACATACTATAATAAGCATTATGGATCTTATCTGTATAGTGAATATGAATTCAGTGAAAGAAACCTGATTCAAAGTTGCTAATAAAAAACTATATATTGGCTGGAAAATATTGGGGCATAATAGTTTTGAACCTAGGAACTTTGATAATATTTAGAGTTAATTTTTTCTTTTGTGTTGGCTTCTCACCATGCATTGGTGGTTTATTTTCTAACTGTTCCAGGCTTATTTATCTCTTATTATAAAGGACAGGTGACCAGAAGTATTTTCTGTGATAGCCTGTGTGTTTTTGAACATGAGTTTTGTGTGTTTGCTGTTGTAGCTCAAAAACAACCTTGGGCAATAGGCAATTGGTGTGGTAGCACTTCAGTAAAACTGATAGTAGGTCAGATTTCAGGCATGGGCCATCCTTTATTAATCATTTATCTATTAGTTGAGTAGAAAGAAAGCTTTGTGTAATAATTCCAATGAAATCCCATATTTGACTTTATAAGACTAAGTGTTTGGATCAGAGGATGGAATGCATGAATTCACCATACTTGCCTCATTTGCCCACTGCATTAGTGGGCAAGTTAGACTTTCCCTGAGTGAAAATCCAAGCACTGTTACAGGAGGAAGGGGGAAGTAGACATCAGGTAGGCAAAAATGACAGTTTCTCCCTACTTTCATTACATTTTGAATTCAAAGATAACTGCTCTTTGATACTTGGCCAAAAGTGAGATTCAAAAATTTGCTATAAATATGCTTAATGTTGAAAGAGCAAATGCTTTCCTCCTAGAATGGGAACTACACACATGTACTCCTACCACTCTCATTCAGCTTAGTAGTGGAAGTCCTAGCCAGTGCAGTAGGGTAGGCAAATTACATAAAAAGCATACAGGTGTCAGCCTATAGTTTTGTCTTTTTTTTTTTTTTAAGATTTTTGTGCATACAGAACTGGGGTACAGGCCAGAGGTTCAGGGGCGGCAAGAGGGTTCACCAGAGACAGAGTGGGGAGCAGAACAGGCAGATCGACAAAGTACACTGCTGAGGGGAGCAGCGGGCGGGTCAGGAGAGGTCTGCCATACCATGTGGTCACCTCCGGGGCAGGCGGGGATCGAGCTCATGTGGAAGTGACTTTATCTTCTAAGTGTGTGCTTTAACCCGCTGCCCCAGGGAGGGCCCAGCCTTGTCTTTTTTATGCAGCAAGTGAACTAGTCAAATAAAGTTTTGAGATAATTTTTTTGAATATGTTTTTTCATTTCATATCAATCAAAATAAAGAAAGCTATAGAATCAAGCTATAGAATCATCATTGTAGCCATATAAGCTCTAGTTTTAACCTTGTTTTTGTCTTGGGAGCAAGCAACTTTCCATGTTAAATGAAACATGGAAAGCTTAGTTCAAGCTCTACTAATACTATAGCTGAGAGACATTTTGGAGGCTTCAATTTTCTTTTTATCATTTCATATTAACTAAAGTGATCTGTTCTTTTCACATTAGATATGTTGGTAAGTGTGTTTGCTAAAAGAACGCAGATAACTAGTTCATCATCATTGCCAACATGCACACACCCAACTGAAGTATTTATTATTCTCTTCATTATGGAAAGACGTCTCAGCAAGTCAGTGGGACTAACAGGGTGATCCAGATTCTCTTTAAACTGTTTTGTTTTGTTTTGTTTTTAATATTCCTTTCCTTTCTCTGTGATTACTGGTGTTTGTCTGAAATTGTTCATATTCCCTTCTTGTTTTAAAGGTATTTGTCCTCTTTCATATCGCAAGAACT